GCTTCTCTACATTGATTGAGGAATTTGTAAAGGCCACTTGGCTTTTTCTTGCATTTTGCAAAAAAGATAAAGTCAGTTCTAAGCCTGCAAGCTCGCATTTTTACTTTTAATTTTCATGCGTTTTCATTAGACATACCTATGAGTGCTTCAAAAATGTTATAGTATTTCCTTATTTACAAGTTTTTGGGGTCTCATTTTGCTGTTTAGGCAAGTTGAATCGTTCTATTAGGATCACGCTTATTTCTCACTGCTGCAATTAGCATGAAGATGATAATTTACTTTTATTGTGCATTTTATGCATTGGAAGTCCTCTGTTTATAATAGATGATTGAATACAATTTTTTAGGGAAAACCCAAATGAACATCTACCACTGACCCAATGTAGAGTAATTTCTTAATTTGATATTTTCCTGTGCCAACACTCCTCATGCTGGAGCATATGTATCAGTTAGCTCCAGGTTACTATGCAATTGAGAGAATGGTAGAGCACCAGCTATATTGTTGAAATATTAACTACTTGTTCTAGATTGGTGGCTTGAGGAGTGACAATTTTTTAGAAAGCATAACATCCTAAACTAAATGACTTTCAACCTCGTTTTAGTTTATTATTTCATGATACATAATGTTACTGACTAGCTAATAATGTAGATGGCAACACAATTATCAAAATACAAAAGCATATGCTGAGTTTCCAGAAATATGAACACCTCCAAGGAGTATTTACCGATTTCATTAATTCATTTTACATGTAGAATGTGCCATAGCGTTTTATTCATTTTTAATATTGGTTTTGGAATCAGCATTTTTTTAATTTTTAAGTTGATCAGAGTACGTTCAACAAGAATTTAATACCGAAATGATGATTTCTTGTCTTCAACGGAGCCATTATAATTGATCTTTTGGAATGCTTTTGCATATATGTGCTCAGTTTTAATTTCTAGTAATCATTTTCCTATAGAATTTTCGATATACTTGGTGAATGTATAGACATTCTATTACTTCTATTTTGGATTTTGCATTTACTGGCTCTCAGTTTTTATAAAGAATGAAACATTATGCCTTGTTAGATCAGGTAAATCAACTTTCTGGCTAGTCTTGTATATTGAGAGAAATCATTGAACGATTTCTCTTTTTCAAAGGTTCTTTGAGTATCCATTGGGTATGATTGAGTTCACAACCTCCAAGGCCAATCTATTTAAGAAAATCTGTATCATATTTTTTCAGAGAGAGAGAGAGAGAAAGTGACAGAGGGATACTGTTTTTAGGCTCCTAAAAAGTGTTTGGGAAGGATGGTTTGCGGGGAAGTAGTTGAGGTGGGGTAGGGACAATCAACTGTGTTCAGGAGGGGAGAGGAGGTAAAATATGTTGTTGGACAGTAGATTCGAGCGGTTAGGCGGCAATCCAGATTGAAAACATGTCAATAGTGAAACAATGAGGAGGATCCACTATTTGTTATTGAGCAAGATACATATAAACCACCTGCAAAAAAAAAAAAAAAAAGATACAACATTCCTTGTAACATAAAAAAGAGATTACAACTTCCATGATACATAAATTTCAAGTTAGCTGTCTCTAAACAATAAAATACAAACATATGAGAGTTCCCTAATAGAAAACAACTTAATTAGAAATAGAGAAATATAAAAAATATAAAAAATGTTAAAATTTGAGAGTTGGTACCTGCAGCCCTGATCCTGTGATTGCAGGACTGCTCATGATTCAGATACGCGAGATTTCATGATGTTGCAGAAGCGCGGAATTGACACCCATGCCATTCCTCCAGCGCAGGAGAGGCTATCGGCTTCTAGCATCGATTTACCACTAAGATAACAAAGTTATCTCCTTGTTGTGTCTAATGCAATCTCACTACAAAACCTATGCTCACGTTTATTCCATGCAATTTTAAATCACATACGTTATTCCAAATTCTGTTATGATAGAATAATTATTTATGTTTTTTTTTTCACAATCAGAGCTGGAACAACACATAGATGAGTATTCTCACAAATCAAGCCTCTAGCTATTATTTAACTTTCTTCTTCTACTCCTCATACTTGGCTAGGCGCATTCATTACATGTCTTTTTGGTGGAACTGACCCTAAAGGGAAATCTATAACATGTTGAATCTCTCTTGTGGTAGCCACTCATATGGTTAACCGTCGCCATGACATTTGACAACTCCTTCAATAAAGGCTGTCCCTTTTATGGTATTAACTAGTCGAACTCACTGCCTTCTTAAACAATCAATGTATCCTATTAGAGTTTCTGTTATGAGCTCAGCTTGAATCATCAGCCTCTCAACCTTTTTGGCTAGAAGTTGATACTCTTCTCAAATGCCTACATTCTCTTTGTGTCATTGTCCGTTTCTTCAACTATTCCATGTTCAATGAAAAAGATTGTCTTGTTGTTTGGGCAATCTGAAATACTTCCTGAATTGGACAGATTTGAGACTACTGGTTGGCTCCATCTTTTCTTCACTTTGGATTGATTTCTCCTCAGACTGGGTCGGCTTGGATATTGTACTAGGTGTACTTTTGCTTCCTGATTTTGGGGTTAAACTTTTACTTTAAGGTGTGGAGGTTACTTGATGACATAATCGTTTATCCACTTTCAAAACTGGGGTCTGTACATATAGCAAGAATCAATATGGCTACAACTGCATCACATTATTGATAGTCGGCTTTTGTCCTCCAAGATACATTGCTATTGTGTACTCCATTGGTTCCACCAACTCATTATGTAGCGTGATTTGATGAAATTCAACTGTGCACTCATTCACAGAAGAATCTCTATGGCATAAATTGCAGAGTTGTATGAACATATTCTATCAATAATATGGGGGACGATATTTACGCTATATTTCTTTTGTAAAAAACTTAAAAGTTTCTTTTGAGCTTTCTATATCATTGATGCCAAAACACATTTGCAAATAATATTTTACCTCATATGTGCTTTTTTTTTGCTTGCCTCATATGAACCTTTTTGATCAATAATAGTGAGTAAAATGTGATTCGCACAAACAACTAGAGTGATCAAGCTTTATAGAGCTTACTTGATGAGATGGAATGATCTGCGGAGAGAGAGAGAGACGCCCCTCCTTACAGTGGACTGACTTCGTGATAGCCCGGGTCCAAAGATGTATTTGGCACCAAAGCTTGGTTTATTATATTATCTAATAATTATACACTATTTGTCAATTATATTTCTGTAAAATAATTTGTCTTTAAAATGCTAATTTTTGATTGGATGGTTAGTTATTAGTATTGAGAAGTTTTTTAGATTTTTAGCCGTTTTTGTAAATTCTCTGCTTTTAATAATGTTGTCCATCATAATTCATCTAGAAAGCTTATAGTTATTACCTCATTATCTCTGCATGCGTTTTTTTTCTTTTATTGAATTATTTGTTGTTCATTTTCATTTATTAACATTGAAAAATTAAATGACAGGCATGCTGAGGATTTTGGCTGTGATATGTATTCATTTTAATATTTGCAATATTAATGATAAAAAATATACTTTAGTTTGTATTTATTTTGTATGTTTTAGAAAGCTAGTACCTATTGCCTTTGTACTTGCTTTGCCTTGCAACATGAATGCTGACTTTATTTTCCATGTTGAGATCTGCTATACCTTATTTTGGTCTTTCGAGTCTCCAAAGTTCCCTAAGTGTCTCTGTGAGTGGCTTTGGCATTCCCGACAACAATGGTAGTTCTATTCTTTCACAGTAGTAATGCTGGTTGATAATTCTCCAGAGGAGAGTTTTTAATACCCTGGTAGTTGATAATGCTTGTCCAGTAGATATCTACACGAGATTGCTCAGTTTTTTTCTTGTTTTTTAGTCATAGAAAATATCAGATTTATTATGTATTCAGACTGTTTTTTTTATAATGATTTATTATTATTTGTTTATTTTAATTGCATTTTATTTTAATGATTTTTCTCAGGGTCTTTTTGCCATAAATAAGGCTCTATGTTTTGGATGATGAATGAATTCGAATTTGAGTTTTCTTTCTATGTGACAATTGTCTTTTTCACATCTGTAACTCCTAGTTTCTTTTTCTTCATTCTCTTGTTCTTAATCTTCTCTTCTCTACTCTTCTATTGTGCCCTCTTTCAATACTTGTTCATCTCTTCTTTCTTTTTCCTTGAAGCTAATGAGTGTTATGATTTCTTCAGTGGGGCCTACTTCCTCATATTCTTTCTTTAACTGGATGCAATGCATATCAGTTTAGGAACGACTTCGTAGATTTTTCATAAATATAAACTGATTTTTTCACTTCGCTTTTTTACCTAACTTCCTTTTTCTAATACTCTGCTTGTCCATTTGATATCTACACGAGATTGATCAGTTATTAGAAAATATCAGATTTATTATGTATTCAGACTGATTTTTTTTATAAGATTTATTATTTGTTTTTTTAATTGCATTTTATTTTAATAATTTTTCTCAGGCTCTTTTTGCCATAAATAAGGTTCTATGTTTTGGATGATGAATTATGATGAATGAATGCGAATATGAGTTTTCTTTCTATCCGCCAATTGTCTTTTTCACGTCTGTAACTCCTGATTTCTTTTTCTTCATTCTTTTTTTCTTTATCTTCTCTTCTCTACTCTTCTATTGTGCCCTGTTTCAATGCTTGTTCATCTTTTCTTTCTTTTTCCTTGAAGCTAATGAATATTATGACTTCTTCAGTGGGGGCTACTTCCTTCTCTTTCTTCTTTAACTGGATTGAATGCATATCAGTGTAGGAATGACTTCATAGATTTTTCATAAATACAAACCTATTTTTTCACTTCGCTTGTTTGCCTAACTTCATTTTTTATCTTGTCATTCTTTTTGGTGGCTGTATCTGTGTGATATCATGTTGGTTTCTTCTAGGCCCATGCGATGGAATTCTTGGTTGCAACAGATGTTTTATCTGTGCATATTTCTATTTTAAATTGAATTAGTGCATGATCTGACTATTTTTTCTCTTTTAATTTTTTCTTACTTGACACAGTTAAATGGGCTTTCAAATGCTGACAAGGCGGCCTTGCGTTTAATAATTAAGGCATCAATGATCCTTGAGGACTTATTTTATGAACAGGTTGGCGGCACAGTTTAATTTTTTTCATTTCATTTAGAATTCTGTTTTCTTTAATTATCTTTTAATTCATTTTTTGCAATTTTTTTGCTTGTGACATGTAAATAGCGTGCTGCAGATCCTCATCAGTGATGTGCAAACGATATGCATTTTAGATTATTTATATATGCAACCATCAGTGCATGCAAATTTTTCTGTGCATATCTGGGCAGGCACATCTTTAACACATCATCTGATTTGAGGGTGTGAGTAGGATTTAAATTTGTTGAAGGTGGCCCACAAGCAATTGGTTCTTTCATTGTGATTTGGATATTATATCACTTTGGAAAGTAGTTGCAGAGTAATATGTTAGGTCGTGCTTTCTCTTAACAGTGACCTGGATTTAAATGAAGTTTAATGGAGCTAGTAGTCCCAACCCATTAGTCTTTATTCCAATTTTCCTTTCTTTTCTTTTTTTTTTCAGCTGGAACACTAATGATTTGAAGAATTTTTCGAAGACGCTTGATCCTGTTGGTTTGCTATTCATATTTTTGGTTGTAATCTAGAAGAAAGTTTTCTTTTAAAATATGGAAAATTATATTTTAAAACATTTGTTTCATTCTTTTTGTGTTTTGAAGAGAAAGCTCTTTTATGGCAACTCCATCGAGCCATTTATAGCATGTACACGAACTTTTTGTTTTATTTGAAAATCCAGGTGTAAGTATCTTTTCGTTAGTAAGAAGAAAAATGTTGTTACATAAAGATCAATTTACAAAATTGAAAAGAAAAATTCAACTGAACAAAACATAGATACAAAGCAAAACAGTCTTGGAAAAACTACTGTCAAAAATGAAAATTAGGATTCATAAACTTCAAGTGAATCTTGCTGAAATAAATGATCTCCTACTTCATAATATAGGACTGTCCGTAAACATATTCCATAAATGCTACAAATGGAATGTAATATCACATGAAAATATGGAGGTTCCTCACCATAGCATGCTTGACACGTGTCTACAAAAACATAGTCCAAATTTTAAAGTTATAATTATGCTTTATTTAAGTATCTATTTTTGTCAAAGGTACTCATGCTGATGTAGCAATGTCAAATTGTGTTTGAGTGTTGAATTTATAGTAGATATCAAATGGTTATGGTACTCTATAATTGCTATGATAAGTTGCTTTCCCAGGTGGATCACAATTGTATTTGTTGTATTTATTTTTCACAAGAAATAATTGCTCTAAAAGTTGTTTTATTCATTAATGACTTGGGCTTATATAGAGCCATACAACTTTCTTACAAATAAATTCATAGAACTCTTTCTATTTGCCAATAGGACTCTAAACTAGATACAAATCTCAACACTCCCCCTCAAGATGGGCAAAAGATATCTACTAAGCCCATCTTGTCACATAACCAAAACAAATCTAATGGGTTAAGTCCTTGGTTGAGGCAGTCAGCCACTTGCTCTCCAGCGGTTACATGAATTATCACCAATAATCTGTTATTCAAATTTTCCTTTATGAAGAACCTTTCAATCTCCACATGTTTGGTTCTATCGTGCTGCACCTGGTTGTTGGCAATGTTGATTGTTAATACACATGTTTGGTTCTATCGTGTTGCACCTGGTTGTTGGCAATGTTGATTGTTAATATGTTATCGCACCACTACTTCATTTGAGCTCTTTGGTCCACCTGGAGCTTTGCCAACAAGGCTCTCAACCACATCATTTCAACAACTCCTAAGGCGGCCATGGCCTTGTACTATGTCTCTGTGGCTCTCAACCACATCATTTCAACAACTCCTAAGGCCATGGCCTTGTACTATGTCTCTGCTGTTGAACTCGCTACTATTGATTGTTTCGTGCTCTTCCAAGCGACCAAGTTTCCCTCTACGAACATGCACTATATTGATGTGGAACTCATGTCATCCGAACAACTTGCTCTTCCAAGAGACCAAGTTGCCCAATATTTTCTTTAGTTGGGCGATCCTTGCCTCATCATCACCAGTGATAATCATATCGTTAATGTACCCAACAAGCATAATGGTGTGGCATCCATTTTGGCGAAAGAACATTGTATAATCAACATTGATCTTATTCTATACCCACCATAGTCTTTCTAAACTTGTCAAAGTAGACTCAACGATACTACTTCAAGCAATCAAGCGACTTCTTGAGCCCGCACACTCTGTCTACTGGCTGTCTTGTGTCGAATCCTGGTGGTATCTTCATATAACTCCTCCAGTAACTCACAATGAATTGAGTTTGTGTAACATCCACCCACCATTCACTATCTGAGAAAACAGTGTTTTCAATGCACTTATACTTGCTACTGATGCAAATGTCTCATCATAATCAATGTCATACGTCTGACTGTACCCTTCCACCACCAATCGATTATTATAATGTTCCGCTTTCTCTTTTGAATTTTGTTTCGCTGTGAAGATCGACTTTCACCCGATTCTTTTTTCCCTGCTGGTAGTGGCACCATCTCACATGTTCGGTTTTTATCGATAACTCTAAACTCTTCATGCATGACCACTTTCCAATTGATATCCTCCTTACCTACCTTTCAACGCTTGGGTATAGAGACAGTGGCCCAAGATGCAATGAATGCTCCATTTACAGGTGATATGTTAGAGTATGAGACAAACTGAACAATGTTATGTGGGAAAAAAAAATGTTCAGGAGGATGTCCTGCATTACTGCGAGAGGTCCTCCTTAAAGTCATGAGGGTAAAAGAAGAAGGATGATGCAATGATATGTTGCTAGGGTTAGGGTTTAGCTCTAATACCAATAAGAAATATTTTCTCTAAAAAGTTGTTCAATTCATTATTGACTTGGACTTATATATAGCCTTACAATTTGCTTACAAATAAATCTCTAGACTTCAATATTTTCTATATATCAATAGGACCCTAAACTAGATATAAATCTGAGCAATTTTATTATCTAATTATAAATGTACAACTATAAACAAATGATTAAGTGCGGGTCAAGTTGTCTAAGGTAAATTCAAAAGTGGTAAATTATTGCTAGGGCTATTTTAGATTTGGATACAAGAAATTGTTGAATGCTAAAAATTTGCATGAGATGTTGCAAGTGAGTTGCAGCAGGGATTGGTGGGTGGTTACCAATGTTTACGATTGAAATTTCATTTTAGTTGTTACACATAAAGGATGAATGCAACATATGAGTGTACATGAGAGAGTTGGTGAGCATGACGGGTATCCAAACATAGATTGGCTTTTAAAAAATATTAAAATATTGCTCTGATTAAATTGAACTTAAAATATCCTCATTCATAGTTATTCCTATAATTTCTATATCATTGACGATTCATGAAAGAAATTTTTACTGTTAAAAGTGACCATGGAAGAACTTTTTGCAGTTAATGCCAAGTTAATACATTAACACAAATAATTACTTGAAGAATTTACATGCATACCACACAATTATTATGTATTTACATATCTAACACCCAAAGTTAGATATTTATTCTTATTAATACTTTGATGTCATAAATATATGCATGAAAAGATAATGATTTATGACATAATGCTAAAAATATGAGTGACAGTATCCCAAGATGCAATGAATGCTCCATTTATAGGTGAGATATTAGAGTATGAGACAAACTAAGCAATGTCATGTGGGAAAGCGAAATGATCAACAGGATGACCCGCATTATTGCGAGAGGTCCTCCTTAACGTCATGTGGGTAAAAGGAAGAGGAATCATTCACCTGTGTTATCTAAGTTTGAGGTGGATGGTTTAGGTGTCGCATAGACTGAGACAATGGACTTCCTGACAAGAGTGGCACTGCAGTCACCGTTTCGTTATTCTGCTCTCTTCTCTTTGTATACATTCAACTCCCTTTGAGCCTGAATACCGCCACCTTCAAGTTCAATGCCCTCATTTTTCTGTTCCTCAATCGATTAAATCCACATCACAAAATAAGGCATTACTCTCACATGTACCAATTTCTCACTATCACTACTCTCTCCCCCTCATCTCATACCTCTAGTATATGGCTAATCACCAATAGGTGAGGTCACCTCCAGTGTGTAGTACAATTCAAATTTTTTAAAAGACATATCCATGCTCATAAACAGTCTCTTCTCTATCGGGCTCCAACAAACATGTCTTTTATGGAATCAAAATAACTTACAAAAACATACTTCACAGTTCTGTGATCCTTGCGGATGGTTTGTTATCTTTCACAAAACATACACAACCAAATATTTTCAATGGAAGGATCCCATTTTTATCTCTTTTTCAACATTTGATAAGGAGATTTTCAATCCAACACTCTCGAGGGCATTCTGTTGATCAATTGAGCAGATGTCAAAATTACTTGCCCCCACAAGTGCTTTGAGACATTTATCACGATCATTAGGCTCGGGGCTACCTCTAAAAAGTGTCTATTTTTCCTCTCTGCTACTCCGTTCTGTGTCAGTGTGTATAGGTATATGATTTGATATTGTATCGCTTGGGCTGATAAGTATTCCCCAAAAATCTTATTGGTATATGTCGGCTGTTATTTTTTTTTTGAAAAAAAAGAATGTGATTTTTGTAAATATAAAAATAGTTTTGATGTCAATATGATTTTTGAAAGTAATATTTTAATTAAAAAAAATAGATGAAACTAAACGAGTCTCACATTTTGAATAGTTTGGATGACTAAGCATGATACCACAAGTAATAAACTTATTCCTGAAGAATAAATATATCACTTGTAGTAGTCTCAATCACCAAAACTAAAGAATTTGTGACATTCGTTTGGTCTGCGAAATATTTTTATATGAGACCAACAAGTTACCTACCTAATATAAGGATTATATAGGGTTTATTTAACATGGGTTCCAAGTTCCCTATAGAGGCAAACCCCTATAGTTAATTACATCTTAAATGACCGGGGTCACTTAAGAAAACTCTTGATTAAGATCAGTGGTTCTACCTTCATGATTTCAAAGTTTAGATTTTCAAAATTGGACATGAGAAAATCAAATGAGAGTGACTT